TACTGGAAAATGAGTGGATCAGAGGCATACATACTTAATATGAATAGAATGGATGATTATATACTCTGTGTTCTCCTATCCTCAAACCTTTTTTTTCCATCCCCTGTACTCCCTTTTACCTTTTGTATTCCGTATCCCATTCCTAGTAGTTTGAAAATAAAAATAATCAAAAGAAAAAAAAAGGGAACCGATTCCTCGCTTTACAACGATCAAAACAGCTGATCGTCGGGTTTCCAAAATGGCCACTGGCTGCTCAAAATGGCTCCCTGCTGTGTTCAGGAAGGAATTTTTCGCTGCACAGGCATGGAAAATGGCCACCCTATGGAGGATCTTCTCTGGACGCTGAGGTATTTAGCCCATTGGAATGCATTGAACCGGTTATCAATGCATTTCAGTGGGCTTTTTTATTTCGGTTGACGAGGATTTCGCTCTACAGCGATTTTGCTGGAATGGATTATCCTCGTGAAGTGAGGCACCACTGTATGGGTATTGATCCTGGACAAGCAAACTGAGCCTGAACACTGTGAAATATGGAGTCAGTGACTTGTTCCAGTGGGGTCTGCACATCAAGTTCAAGAACTGCTGTCATGCATAGAAGTGGGTCAGCAAAAAGACAGATCATGTGAGGTTTGGGATGGGATGCCCAAATCAAAAGAGGAACTGGAATCACAGGAGTCCTTATGACCTGTGCATTTGCTGTAGTGGTACTCAGGCTGGCATCTGTTGAACAGGTCAGTTGGGTACAAGGCATGCTAGTAAATAGGGTTGTGCTAATAATGGAAGCCCTGTTGGGAGGAGCTGCTACAATGAAACTGGAATGGTTGATGGCGGTGCGGACCAGGCAAGCTGGCGGGTCGATGCCATGGCCAGTATTGGAAAAGCACCTTAAGTGGCAGTCGATTCCAATGTCGGCGTTGTAGCCACTGAGGCCAACAGCACTGGTAAAGTGTCTGATATGATAATGGCAGACCTCGATAACCTTCTCTTTCAGAAGGGCTGATAGAGATAGCATTGCCACGTTTAGTACCAAGGGAACTCAGTCCAGTTATAGAGGTTTTGACAAAGTTGCTGATGTTTATGCCATAGGTGGTCATTCTGATTTTTTTTTTCAAAGTAATTGGAATGGACTGAAACAGGTGACAGGTTAGGAAATCCAATTATAAAATTGCTCTGTCACTGAGAATTGGGAGTCTGGCCTCCCAATTTTCTCATCCCTGAGGAGTAAAGACCTTATGATGTGTACAGTTCTGAGTGTTGTGACTTCCTCCAAGATACACTAAGCATTTGGAATGGCCATCCAATAAGATGATTTTTGCAGGACAAGTTACACATTTCTTAAAAGGCTGAGGGCCATGCAATGCCAAGGAAAGGGAGGTTCTCCAACGTCTGCACTGATGGTGGATGAAAAGAAACTGAGGGGAACAGGATGTAATGGGCAGGCCACACCCTCAGAAAAGGGCACAGCTCCTGCCCAAACACCTTAGATCAGCTCTGGAAAGTTCCAAGATGGACTGCACATGCACAGTTAGCCCACTGCTATGCATACACAAAGCTCGCAAAGAAGCAACATGGTGCTGGACTAGACAGATCTTGGTCTGAACCAGCAAGGTACTCCTTATGTTCACTCTGTTATGATTTATTCCAGTGGTTCTTAACCTTTGTTACTCGGATGTTTTTGAACTGCAACTCCCAGAAACCCCAGCCAGCGCAGTTGGTGGTGAAGGCTTCTGGGAGTTGCAGTACAAAACTCCTGAGTAACCCAAGGTTAAGAACCAGTGATTTATTCAACTAAGAATTCATTTCTTCTTCTGTAACTCTTGTTTTCTTTGTGCTATCTTTTAAATTAGAGGTCTGTGGGAAGTGCTTCTTGAACACAAACAACAACACTTAGCTCCTGAGCTACTTCATAAATAAAAAAGCATTCAAATTATTTTTTATTTGAGTGTATTACCTGTGGCATAACTGCATAGCTTCTGCTGCAGCTGTTCCTTCATCCAGTAATGAAGCATTGGACACATCCATTCCTGTGATGTCACAGACCATAGTCTGGTAATTCAGTAAACTCTCCAGCCTTCCTTGAGAGACCTCTGGCTGGTAAGGAGTATACTGAGTAATCCTATTAAAAATAACATTAATCTATGTTGTACCTGTCCAAAGAAAGCAAAAACAACTACACATTTCGCAATGTCATAGCTGTTTACCTTACGGCCTGCAATGCTACCCCACGACTCCATTAAAAAAACATTTAGCACATTTATGTTCCAGAAGACTGAGCTTTCACTCTGGGGGTTTCAGGAGCTCCTCTAGGGCCCTCGGCCTTCCAGTTTTGCTGTGATAAAGCAAATCTGGAAATGGCAGTCCAAGCATTTATGGTTTACTTTTTTTAATGGCTGAAAACAATGCCCGACAGACACATACCCTAATCTGGCCTTGCAGCCCCCTGCAATAGCTATCCCACTCTGTGAGCAGGGTAGGGAAATGCCATTCGACTTTGCTCTATGTTCGTAGTATTTTACAAGCAAAACATGCAATATGTGACTCAACTCTTAAAACAGGAAACTATTTGCTCCTGAGAAATAATTGCCATCCTTCATGCCTATTTTCCCCTAACAGCTATTGCAGTTCCTGCTAAAAATGTTCAGGTTCATTCATTTGTCCATTTAAGATTTTCTGCTTGGTATCATCCGATTGTTATGATTTTTCTTTTTTAACTTTTAAGTGAATGAACAGAAACATACACAATTCCTGGCTGAAACAAACTAGAATGCAGCCTACTGCATCCTCTTGTGGCTGCATAAATGTTATTATCAAAACATGAAGTTTCACTCTAGTTAGTCAAAACACCCAAGCAGCTTGCCACAGGACATAATGGATTTGGCAAAGTATGCTTAGTTTTAGTGCATCTTCTGCATGAAACAAATGCTTGCTTTCAGAAGAAGTGTCTGCCCATGGACATAGGGGAAAAAATTTGAGCAACAAACACTACATCAAAACTTTTCTGATTTAAGTGCCACAGAGGGGTTTTGGTTTATTGAGAGAGAACTTAGGAATACCAATTTAGTAATGAAGTTGGTAATGTTCACCGTCCAAAAGAGAGTCACAGGAGACATTTAAACTTTTTAAGTTAACTGTTAGGAACAGGCAAGGAGTTCACCTTTGTTATGCAATAATTGTACTGGTTCACTTAGCAGTGTATTAACTGGGATTTAGAGATCTAAGTTAGGCACATAAAAAAGCTTTGACATGCCTTGTGGTTTTAAAAATAATAATTTCTCCCTTTGAACAGCAGAAAGCAAAGCTACACAAAATAGTTTGGAAAATTCCCTAAATGTGAATATAAGTTTTGTCATCTGATGGGGGCCTTCCAGGCTAAGACTATAATCTTTTTGCAGACTTCAGGCCTCAGATTTCAGTACATTCATTTTGTTTAGGCCAGGGACTGGCAACCTTGGTGTGGCTAAAGATTTTTTTTTTTTTACATTGATTGGCTGCTTGGAGGCCACACTTCAAAGTGAAAACAGGTAAGGTGGAAAAAGGCATGGCTAAAATGATTAATTAGCCAATTTCTTTCTTAACTTTTAAAAAAATTATTACAGTTTTTCAGTATCTACTCAATAAATAAAGTTTATGATTTAAGACTTAATAAAGTACCTTTGACTGGCTGAAATCCTATATAAAAAACTCTGTATGAAATCAACGTGCAACAGATTGTTGTTGTTGTTGTTTAATCGTTAAGTCGTGTCCAACTCTTCATGACCCCATGGACCACAGCATGCCAGGCCCTCCTGTCTTTCACTGCCTCCCGGAGTTTGGTCAAATTCATGTTGATAGTTTTGATGACACTGTCCAACGATCTCATCCTCTGTCGTCCCCTTCTCCTCTTGCCTTCACACTTTCCCAACATCAGGGTCTTTTCCAGGGAGTCTTCTCAGGAGATGGCTAGAGTATTGGAGCCAGTGAGCAATCAGGGTTGATTTCCTTCCGAATTGATAGGTTTGTTCTCCTTGCAGTCCAGGGGACTCTCAGGAGCCTCTTCCAGCACCACAATTCAAAAGCATCAATTCTTCAGCAGTAAGACTTCTTTATGGTCCAGCTCTCACTTCCATACATCACTAATGGAAAACCATAGCTTTGACTATGCAGAACTTTGTCAGCAAAGTGATGTCTCTGCTTTTTAAGATGCTGTCAAGGTTTGTCATCAGTTTCCTCCCAAGAAGCAGGCGTCTTTTAATTTCATGACTGCTGTCACTATCTGCAGTGATCATGGAGCCCAAGGAATTAAAATATGTCACTGCCTCCTTTCCATACATCACTAATGGAAAACCATAGCTTTGACTATGCAGAACTTTGTCAGCAAAGTGATGTCTCTGCTTTTTAAGATGCTGTCAAGGTTTGTCATCAGTTTCCTCCCAAGAAGCAGGCGTCTTTTAATTTCATGACTGCTGTCACTATCTGCAGTGATCATGGAGCCCAAGGAATTAAAATATGTCACTGCCTCCTTATTGTCCCCTTCTATTTGCCTGGAGGTGAAGGGTTTCCCAATTTTGAACCAATCAGTTGTTCCATATTCAGTTCTAACTGTTGCTTTCTGTCCCACATATAGATTTCTCAGGAGATGGATAAGATGGTCAGACACTCCCATTTCTTTAAGAACTTGCCATAGTTTGCTGTGGTCCACACATTCAAAGGCTTTTGCGTAGTCAATGAAGCAGATGTTTTTCTGGAACTCTCTGGCTTTCTCCATAGTCCAGCACATGTTAGCAATTTGGTCTCGAGTTCCTCTGCCCCTTCGAAATCCAGCTTATACTTCTGGGAGTTCTCGATCCACATACTGATGAAGCCTGCCTTGTAGGAGTTTGAGCATAACCTTGCTAGCGTGTGAAATGAGTGCAATTGTACGGTAGTTGGAGCATTTTTTGGCACTGCCCTTCTTTGGGATTGGGATGTAGACTGATCTTTTCCAATCCTTTGGCCACTGCTGAGTTTTCCAAACTTGCTGGCATATTGAGGGTAGCACCTTAACAGCGTCGTCTTTTAAGATTTTAAATAGTCTGACTGGAATGATATCACCTCCACTGGCCTTGTTGTTAGCCATGCTTTCTAAGGCCCACTTGATTCCACTCTCCAGGATATCTTGCTCAAGGTCAGCAGCAACACTATCTTGTCCGGGACATCCAGATCTTTCTGGTATAATTTCTCTGTGTATTCTTGCCACTGTTCTTGATGTCTTCTGCTTCCATAAGGTCCCTCCCATTTTTGTCCTTCGTCATGTCAATCTTTGCACAAAATGTTCCTTTCATATCTCCAATTTTCTTGAACAGGTCTCTGGTTTTTCCCTTTCTATTATTTTCCTCTGTTTCTTTGCATTGTTCATTTAAGAAGGCCCTCTTTCTCCTTGCTATTCTTCAGAAGTCTGCATTCCATTTTCTGAAACTTTCCTTATCTCCCTTGCATTTTGTTTCCCTTCTCTTCTCTGTTATTTGTAAGGCCTCGTTGGACAGCCACTTTGCTTTCTTGCATTTCCTTTTCTTTGGGATGTTTTTTTTTTTGCTGTCTCCTATACAATGTTACAAGCCTCCATCCATAATTCTTCAGACACTCTGTCCACCAAATTGAGTTCCTTAAATCTGTTCTTCGCTTCCACTGTATATTCATTAGGGATTTGGTTTAGATTGTACCTGAATAGCCCAGTGGTTTTTCCTACTGTTTTGTTTAAGCTTGAGTTTTGCTATAAGAAACTGATGATCAGCTCCAGGTTTTTGCTGACTGTATAGAGCCTCTCCATCTTTGGCTGCAGAGAACATAACCAATTTGATTTCGGTAGTACCCATCTGGTGATGTTTATGTGTAGTCTCGCCTCTTGTGTTGTTAAAGTGTAACAGATAATGTCCAAGAAAATGTATTAATGTACAACAAATCATATCTAAAACAGGATTTCAGTCAATATGTAAAAATCAAATTTATTCCTTTGGGCACATTCATCTAACAGAATCACAGAACTGTAAGTCGGTGACTCTCTGATAGTTAACAGTCCCCAAGACTTAAGCTGCTTAATCAATTAAACTTAAGCTCTTAAAAGAACTAAAGGCTTATTCCCCTACAAACCACAGTTAAGGTCTAAGAAATAAATGCTGTAGAAATTCTTGGAAAGAAGGTGAGAAGATGGGCTGTTTAAATTCACACTGACAAAAAGGCTTGCTTGGTGTCTTACTAAGGGGCATGTACAGATTTAATGATTTTTCATCAATGATTGGCAGCAAACTTGAGACTTGAAGAGTCTCAACCATTCTGGATAGCCACGGAAGACACTGGTCTGAAATTAAGGGCAGGAGAGTCTTACCTGCAGACCACACCTTTTCCCAGATTTTATATCTGGCTCTTGCCATCACTCTAATATCTTAACATTCTAAAATGTTTACATCTTGATTCTGTTTGGGCCTTTTTTAAACTTGGTTTTACAGTAATATTTATTTATTACTTGCCCTTGATGAGAACTAGCACAATGGCATTGCTTTTGTTGTTCAGTTGTTAAGTTGTGTCCAACCCTTCATGACCCCATGGACCAGAGCACGCCATGGCATTGCTAGCTGGCTAGAATACATAAATTTAAATGAAGAAATCACTAAGAAATAGCATGATTTTAAATAAACTCATTCATGATGAATAAAATCTTTGAAATCATACATTTTTCTAACACCATAATTACTTTTTGGACTAGTAAGAAAGCAATTATCTTCTTTCTTGAGTGAAAAAAAAATTAGCCTTCCTATACTGGTTCGGGGGGGGGAACAATACACAGGCCCACCCCTATTTTTGTGTGCTGTTGCGCCCAACAGGCCTTTTGCTCTTGTGAAAATGAAGTGAATCAAGTTCCCCAAATGTACCAGAAAGTGCAATTCTACTTTAAGCAAGACATGCAGCCCCAGTGGGCCTTGTTTTAGCAAAAATAAAAGGCCAAAGAAGGTAAAAACTTTTTAAAAGCAGAAGCGAACCCTCCACAACTTCTAGCCTGAATGAAAAGGAACAGTGCAGGTCACAGAAAGTCCTGCTGCAAGGATCTGGGCCACAGCTATGGCAGATTTACACTCTCACTAATATTATTATCTATGTAAGTTCTTCTTCCACCCCATCTCAATATTTACACTGTTACTGAATGCCTCTATTAAATACATGTACATTTCACATTTTAGGATTATCTCATCATCTCCATTAGGAGAGCAATGCCTTGTTCTGCCTTTAACTAAAAAGAAGTGTAGCATAATCCAATGCAACTAAAGCGTACAGCATTGCACACACTTTAAGAAATCGCTTACAGCAATATTATTATAAATGTAAATAAACATCATACAGGCAAATACTGCTATGACAAACTAGATTTCGTGGGTTAAGTCTAGACTTATTGTCAATTCATTCAAGAAGCCAAACATTCTTTCTATTGTCTGCCTATTCATTGATGTTCCTGTCACGTCATTTGAATTAATTAGCTTGGTTTCTAGGGCAACACCACAGCAGACATTGTGAAAACAATCAGGAAGCATAGGCACGAAAATGTGTGCAGCCTAACATAGCCTCATAATGTCACACATTTAACAGCTGATTGTAGGTTAGTGAGCCAAACAATTCAACTTAGATTTTAAGCCATTTTGATCTATACACTTAATGCCAAATGTAAAAAGAGGAGTACCATATTGTCTAAGGACAAAACTCTGAGACATTCTAAAAGCCTCTCTTTAAAATGCAGTTATAAATACTGTACCTGAAAGGTACAAAAGCCATTTTGGTTCACATTTAGAAAATTAGCTGTTTCAAGCAAATTTCCACCCACTATTAGACTGTGGGAATTTTACAAGGTATTTTAGCTCATTCATTTTAATAACAAGATTTCACTATAATACTACTGAATGGCATCAATTTTGTTTTTCTCTAAAAACTAAACATAACAGGAAAGGAAATAAAGAGCAGATTCATGCAAACTCATTGTTTTCCAGTATCTGCTTTGAAAGGCACATATACAACTAGCTGAATATACGAGTAAAACAACATAAACCATATTTTCTTAAAAGCTTGACTAGAACTACCATGTTTTCATAAGTCAGATTCATGTAAACTGAATGCATATAAATTCACTAACAACCAGAAATAAAATAATTTGTTTGAAAATTGCTTCTCAGTTTAAACTAAAACTTTTAGAAACCAATTTAATGGCTAGGGACTGTTGAGTCTCAACTGACATAGAAAAGAAAATGGCATAACTACCTGATTTTGGATTACGGCCTTAATGATCTTACAGAAATGGAGGATTTGGTTTGTGATCTGCATTACTTGAGTGGTGAAGTTTAGTAAAGGCAAAGGTTCCCCTTGACAATTTTTGTCCAGTCATGTTCGACTCTAGGGGGCGGTGCTCATCCCCGTTTCCAAGCCATAGAGCCAGGGTTTGTCCGAAGACAATCTTCCGTGGTCACATGGCCAGTGCGACTTAGACACGGAATGCTGTTACCTTCCCACTGAGGTGGTCCCTATTTATCTACTTGCATTTGCATGCTTTCGAACCGCTAGGTTGGCGGGAGCTGGGACAAGCAACGGGCACTCACTCTGTCGCGTGGATTCGATTTTACAATTGCTGGTCTTCTGACCCTGCAGCACAGGCTTCTGCGGATTAGCCCACAGCACCACCACATCTCTCCTTGGTGAAGTTTAGTAGACAACTAATAAATCAATTCTCCACTATCCACCACCATTTCATGCATTGTATATGGTGCTATAAAACAAAACTTGCAAAAACTAATCTTAAAAGATGAATCTTTGCTTGCCAAATCTGGCATTGCATGCTGTTCGCTTGATAAAACTGTTAATTGTTTGCAAAAATTATAAAGAACTAACACAAGAACAAAGTCCTTGCTCTTTTGACACCATTTCTCCTGATCTTTCAATTCTGTTGTCATCCAAAAATTAATTTTACATACCCATATACATTTTCTATATTTACAAAATAATGGAGACATATGTACTTGAATGGGATGTACTTTTGCAGACCACACTTTTCCATATTTCCTCTGAACACTTGACAACTGTGTTGGTATCTCCAAAGATATACATATAGTGTACAGTAGTTACATCAGGAGCAGTTATTAGCGTGCTTCTGAATCATTTTGAATGCTTAAATTCAAGTATGCCCGACAACTGTAAAGTAGTGACCGGTACCAGAAGGAGTGTAGAATCTAACACTTCCCTTGTACATTATCAACTGAAGTAGAATATTCCACAAATGCGTATTTCTAAGTATCTAGACCACAGTTTTATAATATATGGGAATAGGTTCTATGGGACTCAGTGGGATTTATCCCTGAATTGACATGGATTATATATACTTTCAGTTGCTCATGATTCTTCCATCCACTAGATAATGCAGGAACATAACATACAGGTCTTTTTCAAAAAAGGATGCAGACAGAAAGCCACCAACAGTCTATGGATTAGCCATATTAGCCTTAAGCTAGTATGCACACCATGATATTAACCAGAAAGGGAACTGAAGAGTTTTCTTTTTCACTTAGTTTGAAATGGCTTGCCTTAAATGGTGACTATAACTGCTGCAACCAGAGACAGCACACGGCTCTTTCATCTTGCAATCACTTGCACAAAATTATTTTCTACTTGCACTGAGTAGATAAATGTCAAGTTTCTCATTTTCTGAATTAAAATGTCATAGCAATGACTGTAAATATAGAAAACCATTTACCTGTTCCTGCACACAAATCTAGTTCCTTTACCAAAACTAGTAAACTGGCATACAGTTCTTATTAACGATGAATACACACACACACACACACACACACACACACACACACACACACACACAGAGAGAGAGAGAGAGAGAGAGAGAGAGAGAAAACAAAAACAAGATTTCTATTCCTTCGATAAAATCTGATTTTGACATAATTTTCCTGTCATTAACATCCTGAATCACCACAACAGGTGCCATTTATGTGTTCCCATATATTAACAATACGTACGACACAGCAATGGGTGTGTTTAATGAGAAAACAATGTACTTTACCATCCTGCATTCTCCAACAGATTCCTCACAATGGCCTGGGGGGCTGCACAGTTGTAATATCCCATACCAATATAGGACCTCCAGATCTTGTTCTTGCTGGCAATATTGTGTAAGGTTTCAAGAATTTCATTTTCACCTAATTAGAAAGAATGTTACAGAAGAACTCTTACAATTGATGACAATAACAACAATAAATAAATGATAATAATAATAATTATTATTATTATTATTATTATTATTATTATTATTATTATTATTATTATTATTATTATTATTATTATTATTATTATTATGAGCCTCTTGCCCCATATCTTCTTTTGCAGGTATTATATTTAGGACTTGCTAACATCGATGTGTCTTTTTAACCCACTATCTCCCTCCCATTCTTACTTTGCTGACTAGCAATGTTGACATTCCTGGTTCAAATTAAGTTGTGTTACAATAAAGAGATCATTCACAATTGCTTTATATTCCCTGAGATCTATAAGACAATCTCCAGGACCACACTGGCCCAAATGCAACTGGCAAAAAACCTTGTGTGTAAGGCAAGTGTGCAGTCGTTCCCCCAACCCTTATGTAAGGTTCTCTTTGGGCTATTAACCGCATGCAACAGAAAGCCTGCCAGAGAGTGGGGGGAATTACGATCGCCCTTACACAACTGCTTTAGTAAACAGGATTCTGTCCAACACAATTTTCAAAAATACTTGGAAGGAGATCATCTGTTCAAACATAATGATTCCCTCTCTTAGATGCTCTAGTATCGTAGCCCGTGATACCATAATGAGTATAGAATGTTTTGGGCCCCACTCCTAGTGGATTTAGTCATAGAAAACTTTTACATCATGATATCCACAGGCATCATCTGCTAATGTTGCAATACATCTACAAAGGACATTTTATTGCCGTTGACTGAACAATCTCCATATATTTTGCTGGTAAATTTCACAAAAATCCCGCCAGCATCTGTTTCTTATAACCTGATGAGTGAAAAAACAATAATTGATGAGAAAACTGCCCAATCCTTCAGGTGATAGTCAAGGCTCTTTGAAATCTTAGCCAAAATCCTGTTGGGGATTTAGCCTAGTAGATTTGTACTTTCTGGGAAATCAGAGAAGGACTGTAACCAAGACAGAATTGTACAAGTAGTGCTGAATACAAACTGTTATGCTTTCTGAGACCCCCTGACTCAGCCACAGGCTGCCAATGGCAGGCTTGCTGCAAGTGTTATGCGGTGTGCCCTAGACTTGAGTTTTTTGTTGTGCAACCAGTTATCTAACATTGTGATCCAGTGCAATGTTCATGTAACTTTAAATATGGATATTTATACTACATGATTGCACCACAAGATACCATCACTTACATACAAGTATTTCAGCACTTTTTATTCAACATTGTTTCAGTAACATCATGGCATTGTTTACGCTGTGACTGGAATAAAATTAATGTAGAGCCACACTGAACATGTTCAAGAACTGTCTGATCAAACAGCTAAACACCACTAGGAACAAAAGATACGCAGATTTTCCCTTCAAAGTGTTTTCAATCAAACTCAAGAGTTTGAAAAAATTGTAAAATATAATTTCTCATTTAATCCCACTCCAAAATGACCTACCACAACATTCAGAGATTGTTTGGAACTGCATCTACTTAAGGAGGGATGTTGCCTAAAGCAGGCATCCCCAAACCCCAGTCCGCAGCCCGATGCCGGTCCATGGCTATGGCAGGACCGGGCTGCGGAGACAGATCTCCCACCCTCCTCACATGCCCTCCCTCCACCCACCCCACCTGCATGGCCCACCACCTGCAAGCACAGGTGCCCCTCCGCGACCACCCCTGCCCCTTTGCACATGTGCATGAGCACATTCTGCCCCTCCGTGCATGACCATGAGTGCATTCTGCCTCTCCGCGCATGTGTGCAAGCATGCCCCTCCCCTCCACAAGTGTGCTCTGCCCTGCCGCACATGCAAATGAGTGTGCCCCACCCCTCCACGCATGCACACCAGCACCCCCTCCATGCATGCGCACAAGCATGCCCTTCCCCTCCGTGGAAGCGCCCTGCCCACCCGTGAGCATGGGGGTGCCCCCCCACAAATGGAATCCCCCCATCTGGTCCACAACTCAGAAAAGGTTGGGGACCACTGGCCTAAAGGAAAAAACCAAGTCAAACCCAACTTCCTTGTCCCGTATATAGAGAAGCAGGCAATACTGGAATTCCCAGTTTTAGTTTGTAACTCTCCTGTTGCATCCATACTTTAGGTCTCACAACAGAAGCATTAAACTATTTTTTTCTGGGATATGTGACCAGAATCCATTGAGTTAAGGAGCTTGTATTTATCCCATGGAATCTTTGTTTTCCTCAACTAACTCCAATTTCATGTCAGAAACCAATTCTGAAACCCTCCTCAGTTGAACTGTTGTGTCCCATAACATGGGAAAGTGGTGTTCAAATAAATGCCTTATATTACTTTTTTATATTCACATGATTTGCTTCATGGTCCTTTAGACCCTGGCTCTCATCTTCAGTAAACATATTACATCTATCAGTGTCAAGTAACACTGATATCTTCAAAGAAGCACAGAGTATTCTATATCACCCTTCCTCACCTTGGCATAGTGCCCTCAAAATTTACTGGATTACAACTGTTCTGACCCCAGTACGCAAGTCCAATGACCATGCTCTATGGGGATGATAGGTGTTGTACTCCAATGCTTATGGAAGGTGCTGGGCTGAGGAAGCCCGAGTCAAATGGGCACACTATAGATTATAAATCTATTTGATTAATTTGAGATTCTCCCCCTCCATTTCATTCAATGACAAAACTATGAAGCAATGTAGTCAGAGTCAGAAAAGCTGGAAATACGAGAGGTCAGTAAACACTCATTAAGAAACACTTGGAAATCAGCCATCCTTCTCAGGCTAGTGCTTCCAGTTTTCTAGGGCAGCAGATCAGATGAAGTACATCACAGCAAACCCGCTACCGTGAAAACAGTTGAGCTATCTTACTGGAACCTTAGCTAGCAATTCTTTTTGCTGAATAAATGCCTCCTGCTGACCTTGTTTATTTCTCCTAGCACAGAGTATTGCGTAACATAATCAGAGGCAATGATCTTAATGTGTACCAAGAATAGAGTTCATTGATCTTTTGGAACTGTTATCACATAACTGAGGAAAGACAAGGGGGAAAAGAGAGCACTGCACATACAGTTCCCATGTTGTCATTCTCAGATCTTTAGGAACAAATGTTACTTTTCCCAGGAAAAGTGCCCATTTGTGTCCAGATCTAATGGAGCTTTCTATCCACACAGCACCATAATTCAGCTCCATAAACCACAAATATAGCTTATCAGAATACAATCAAAGCTTTAAGAAAAAATGTAGATTTACTAAATTGACAATTTTGTAACAAAAGCTCTTATAACAGCTTGGGTTTCAAAATTTTAATTGATGATTAACAAAAATAAGAAAAAGAAAATTGGAACACCAATATTACCAACATCTCATATTATTCTGCACAAAACAAGAATGTAATGCATATTTCTCTTTTTTGGTATTAAAAATGGTGGCCCATCTGTACTTCTACATATAGTATCTGAAATGAAGTGTGTTTGACAGAAATTTGAACATGCATGTTTTTATAACCACCTCAGTATACTCACAATTGATTACATGCATTGTAATAATGTTGATTCATATGGCATGCTAATCCAGTTTGAACTTATCCTGTGTTTAAGCAAGCTTCCAAACTCATAATCAGTCAGATGGACAAATCCACATGAAGTTGGATGGGAAATCCAAATACATACTGCATGTATGACTACCAGCCAAATAAGACAGCTGGAGTTGTTCATATACAGCCTTTTAAAGAAAGCCGGAATCCCACCAATCAGCTGCCCACAGTTGAGTGGCTAAATCTGCCCTTTCCTGTCCATTATCTGATTGGTAGAATTCAGCTTTGTTTTAAAGTTTAAAGGGGTCAGCATGCAGTTGTGGCTGGTACACAAGCAGGCTCTCACTTGGACCACCTCATTCTCTTCAAAGCCACTGAATGGTTGAAATGTTCAACTGATGTGCACACAAGCATCAAGACATCTGCACAATCAGTTTCATTCATGTATCAGATTTTTTCTAAAAATGGCCAAAGTACTTGCTTGCCCCCCTCGATCACTTTCATCATTCTGATCCAGTGGAACCTGGAAGTACAAAGTGTTCAGTAACAGGATCCAGTAAGTAGAGAGACTCAACTGATGTATAAACTTGTTGACATAGTAAGTGCATCAACATTACTCATATGCTAAACAGATTTAATAAGAATAAGATGTAAGATACCAGACCGCCGTGAAACTAGCTTATTTGGAAAGTTCAGTTTACCAGCTTAAGTTTGGAGGTGTCCAGCTATTACTGGGAAAACTGCAGGTGTTGTTTCATCGGAGGTGCACTGCTCCATAGCAGTTTTTAGGGACTGGAAAATTAGTATATCAGTATAGGCTTACTGTGTCCATGAATGGAAATGTTCAGAGCTTCATTGAACAAATGACAATCTGTTACAGAATATTACTACAGTGGACCCTCTACTTACGGAATTAATCCATATTGGAACAGTGGCTGCAGGTTAGGTCGAGTCTCCATTGACCTACAATGCACTGAAAACCAATTAATCCCGTAACCGGCCGTTTTTTCCCCATTTTTGTTCCATTTTGGTTTTTTCTAGTCTGTAGGTCGATTCTCTGGCTGCAAGTTGAACCTAAATTTTGCGGCCAGAGAAGTCTGTAACTCGAAAAGTCTGTAAGTCGAGCCGTCTGTAAGTCGAGGGTCCACTGTATTTGATACTAGTGATGTGGAGTTGATTTATTTTAAGAGTTAACAAGTAAGCACACAAAGAAAAAAAAGGATAATATTTCATAAAGTATGGTATGAATATTAATATAATTCCTTTATCATACAGAAATAACTGATTTTGTAACCTGTAGGCCCATGTATGGGAAGAGAGCTACAGTACGTTGCAACAGGTGATGAGAAAATGCCCTGGTTAGGGAGTGAGCCAGCTGTATTCTACTGAGTTTTTAAAATAGCTGTGATTATCTGGTTCAGTCCTGAAAAGGAAGGGTTTACATCCTGAATATGAAAAACCAAAGCAAATGCAGCAAGGGCTGCTAAGATTATATTTACCAGTTTAAAAAAGAAAAGAAAAAGAAAACAAGAATTGATGAATACTCCTTGTTTTGCTATTATAGCATGGCCATGGTCAAACTTTATAAGTCATGATCAAAAATACCTTAAAATATTTTCAAATAGGCAATTGTTCAGTTGTCAGTAACACCATATGATTAAATCAGCAGATGTTAGCCACCCTGGGTCCTTTTAAAGTGAAAGGTGGGGTAAAAATATACTAAATAAATATAATAAATGTGTAGCCTTGTGACTACTAACATGGTGCTAGTTAGCTAAGTGGAAGAATGAATTAAAGACCAAAGGAAAATCACATTGCTTTGATGTTAGTTTATAATGATACTTGTAGAAATGCTATTTTTCTTTAACAGAGCTGCTTCTAAAACAAACACCTGCTTCTTGACATTTTGTACTATCATTAACATACCGGATGTCATATAAAAGTGCACATTTATGTACTTTCTACTGCCTGCCACTTTGGAACATATGAAGAGCAACTGGGAAAGGATTAATCTTTTCAAAGGCATCAGCATCAAAATACCCAGATATACCACTTCTCATGCATTGCCTTATTTGTCTCAAGGCATTATGGTCAGGCATCAAAGCTACTGTGGCAAAAATTATTTTGGGGATTTATGCCAGTGTAAGTGACAAATTGTGGCTAATTGGTTAAAGTAATCATGTGCTACTTTCACAAGAAATTCAGTTAACAGAAAATTTGCCATTGCCATTTATGCCGTGATACTTAGTTAGGAGAAATCTGCAGAAAATTGCTATTGCAGTTCATAAAGTGATACTTATAGCAGGGTAAATCCTCATTAGCGTTCTGGCCACCGAGTGTCCTTAAGGAACCACCATAAGAGCCATTGTGGCACAGCAGTTAGAATAATAAAGATTCAAGACTCCACATAGCCATGGAATTTGCTGGGTGTCTTGGAGCTACTCATTACGTCTCTACTCTACCTCACAGGATTGCTGTGAAGATAAAGTGGGGAGGAAAAGAATCATGTACTGTACACTACTTTGAGCTCCCTGGAGGAATACAAATGTAACTAGCAATAATTAATCATTGTGTATTTGTTGCTAAAATCATAAATAGTTTGGGATAAGCCCCAAATATTTGTGTGAACTAATTAATTAAAAGCTTCTTATCCCTTTGTTTTAGGTTCTGGGGTTTCCTGGGGTCATGGGAAAGCCTTCGGGATCCTTGGGACAGAAGGGGGAAATCCTTAAAAGCAAAAAATTGCTATCACTGGGATTGGGACCACTGCTGCCAACACAGCAATGATTTTTTGACTTTTAAAGGATTCCCTTCTCCCAAGGCTCCCGAATGACAAAAGGGAGCCCTACAAAATAGCGAAGCAATATATAATCATTGTGTGCTATCAGGTCAATAAGAGGATAGGAAGCTTTTAATTAATGTAAATTAAATGTTTCCAGTGCCCAAACTGGGTTATGCCAGGCGCAAAGTTACACAACAGGATTTTGTCTATTATTTCACTTAAAGATTAATATCATCTGTATTTGTGTTATTTTCAAATTCTGTTAGACCCCCCCCAAACTGAAATAAATAGGGTAGTTTATTAAACCACACTGTATCTATAAAGTGTGAAAAGAAAAAGAAAAGCAAAGTTTCCATCATCACAATCTGTTATCTCTGCCTAGAATCCTCCTTTTCAGGTTTTATCATTCTCTTGGTTACTCCATTCCAGCTGCTGCCTCTGTTCTGTGATGTCATCACAAACTAACCAGATTGAACTGGCCAGGAACCTAACAGTGGCTGCAGGGCCTCAAGTTTACACTCAAACTGTAATGAGCAGCATCAAAAGGAGAGTAAAAGGGATCAAAATACTTTATGTGGTATATATTGAATTGCTGTCAAAGACATAGTCATGTCATTATAAATACATATATAGATATATATAAAGAAGACTACACATGGAAAAAGGTCCTTGGGGAAGCTAGAATCTAAAATATCACCTCAGTGTAACTGTTCAGTTAAATCTTAGCAAACAGTCTGTCATCAACACATCTCCCAGGGACAAGCATTTTGATTAGTTAGCTTTCTTATATAATGTGTGTGTGAGAAAACAAAGAGACTTCATTAATAGTTTTATTTTAAAGTGTCTCTGCACCTCCCACTGGAGAGGTTATTACATGAGTAATAATTAAGAAAGATTGTTCAGTATGCTTTAAGTCCTAACAAAAAGACTTCCACCTATTTTTTGTTGAAAATGCAGCTTTTGTAAGCCACTAGAAAAATGTTTTTGCATTACAATTTTACAGGGGCAAGAGAAATTGATTGTAAAAATAACACACACAGTCTCTTTAGCTTTTCATGTGTGCATTAACAGTTACTCAAAAAAGCACGTTCACATATAGTATTCTACTGCTGCTGCAAACTGGTATATGAGAACAAACATTCTACTGTCAGTATTTGATGTCCTCTATCAATAATTTTTCTTGACCAGCACATTCTGATTGACAACTCCTAACTGGTTTTATTAATGTAATAATATGCAAAGTTTCATACTGGCATAGAAAAAGATAACTTCTGGTTTATAGAAGAGTGCAATAAATATTACAGTTAAGATTGGACAAAAAACATTTAGACATATCATAGTAATTTTAAATATCCTGTAGCCCCCAACACACTAGAATACTATGGTAGGTCCCAAGATACAATTCTTAAGTTCCCTTATTCCTTATTTAATGATTTATATATTGTATCTTCCTTCCTAATCAAATATTCCAAGGCAGACAACAACCGTCCTGAAAGAAATAAAGTAACAGACAGTAGACTTGGAGATGTTTAACAATGGGACCAAATTTAAGATTAACATGGTTATCTTTATATGTTCATATAAATTCTCTACTGCAGGTTTTAACAATTACCTCTATTAAACAACCTAATAATAACAATTGTATGCCTTCAGCTCAGTTCTGACTTCTGGGGACACTTTTCAGAGTTTACTAGGTAAAAAATACTCAGAAGTGGCTTATCAGTCTATTGACAGGCAAATACATCTCTTTGACCCTATAAAGCCTATTAAATGAAAAACGAGAGGGGGGGCTTTTAATTTTATCGGGAATGGAAAAAAATACTTACAAATATGGTCATCCATCTTCAGAGGTCTCTGCAAGCGAATATTAGCAGGAATGGTTTTATCGATCAGCTCATCAATACTCTGAAAAACACAATAGACAGATCGAAGCGTGACACAGGTCCTCTCCAAGTTTAAAGCTCCGCTCCGTCTCAGCAGCCGCCCCCCCCCGAAGGCACCGGCTCGGACAAAGGGCGGAAGAAGAGGCGCCGCGGGGAAAACTCTGCGCCTCCCGACGGTGGGAGCTCAACTAACGAAGCGCTGGACGACATCGGGTTTACACCCCCCCCCTCAAGACACTTGGCAGGGAGAGGGGGAGGGGGAAGAAAGTGAAACGAGGCCAAACGACCCGACAGGGATGCTGAGGCGTTGTTGTGGGCACTGAGCGGAATTACAAAACAAAGCAACCGCGACTCTGGGGGCGTATCCAAACAAGAGGGGCGCGTAAGGTGGGCGTCCAGAGGAGGAAGGGTCGGGGGGCCACGGGAAAGCGGGCCGAGAAAGCGGGTCAAGTCCCGTCGAGTTGGCTCACCGACAGTCCCAGGGTCTGCAGCATCTCTCGCTTCTCTTTGTCCCCCGGGCCGATGTGCCGCTCGGAGAAATCGTCGTGCCTGGGCAGCAGCCGCTCGATGTGCCTGGCGGTGCGCTGGGCGGCCGC